TACTCAGCTGCCAACTCAGCCACTAAGTCAGCATGTCGACTCCAACATGGGATGCACCTCAGCTCCATATAGGTTTCCTCATATCACATGATTTCTTGTGGGTCGATGCGATGTCTCCTCAGGGTCAACACGACATTGGGGCATGGCCTTTATGGCGTTATGGGCATTATGTGCCGTCCCCCCTTTTTTTTAAAGCTTCGGATGAGTATTTTTGGATATAAGTTAAAAAAGAGGTATATTGAGTACTTTATTTAAAAAAAATTTTATATGATTTTTAAAATTTATTATTTATTTAATTATTGAGTAATTTGTAAATTTATATTTATATATTTAAATTAAGAAAAAAAATTTAGTATGAGATATTATTATATGTATTTTGTATTTAGTTTAAAATTTATTATTTATATAAGTTGTTATTATTATACATGTGATTTGTTTACCTTATAAGTTTACTTAACTTATTTTTTTAATTTTTATTTTAAAAAATTATTATATAAATATTAAGTATAATAAGTACATATAAAATTTTAATTATTTAAAAATTAATAATAAATTAATTTAATTAATTAATTAATTAAATCAAATAAATTTATTAATTAATTTAATACTTATAAAAATATTATATTTATATCCATTATTTTTTTATAATTTAATTATAATACTTATCAATATAGATAAAATATTTATAAATAAGTATATCCATAACCAAGCTAACCCGTAGTGGCATGTAGGCATTGTGTACACTTCTCTATAGTCGGCTTTCAACTACAACTTCCCAGGGTGCTCAAGTGCCTCAATCCTTGACCGAAATTAAAAGCTCCAGAAATGAAGTGGAGCTGCATTGTTTCAAGCCGAACTCGAAGAGCAAAAAATGGAGGAAAAAATGGGTTGGAGCAATTATAATGTTGGTTTTGGTAAGTGGGTGGTATTGTTCTTGTTGTTAAAGTTTTGTCTTTGTCCAACTGTGGGTTCAATGGAACTCCGCCCATTCAAGGTAAAACATATAATCTTCTCACTAATCCAAAACCAAAAAAAGCATATAATCTTTTATGAGAAATTTAGAATTATGATTTGACGTTACAATTGCTCATTTCTTTGTTTCTTATTGTTTGTGTTTGTAATTTCATTTTTTTCTTCCTTGATAACTAATATTTACAAGATGGTATGAATTGAAGAACCTTGAAGAGTTAGATTTAACTACAAATAATTTTCGAAGAATGCTTCCCTCCTATTTGGGAAACTTGTCATATCTCCAAGTGTTAGATGTACTGTTTAACCATTTCATAGGAAATATTGCCACCACCTCTCATACCAATTTGAAATCACTTGAATATCTCTCGTTTTTAAGTAACAATTTTCAAGTCCCAGTTTCCTTTAGGATGTTTGCTAATGACTCCAAGCTTAAGGTTCTTCTTAGCAATGACAACAATTTAATCCTAGAACCTTCCCTTCAAACTCCAACTTCAAACTCCCAACTCATATTTTTGAGTTTGTCATACCTTGCATTAAAAGAACCTCCCTACTTCCTCTATCACCAAAATGACCCTATAGGGTTGTTGATCTCTCCCACAACAACATCACTAGGGGATTCCCATCTTGGTTGTTCATGGAAAATACATGATTAACATTTATTTGAAGAAAGGGAAGAACTAGGAGCTAATAGCTTTGATATCATGTTAGAAACAAAAAAAGAAGAAGAAATATGTGAAGAAAGATTTATTACTTTATTGAATAATACTATATGTATAATAATTTATATGTATGTGTTTACATAGAAAATATTTTAAAGTATAAAACTTACAAAAAAAAATATTTTAAGATATAAAATATTTATAATAAATGTGAATAGTGTGAATAGTTGATTGTCAATTACTATATTCACATCTTAACACTTGAGAGACAATGATACAAGGCTTTATGAAAGATGAAGGTGATTCCTACTCTTTCCACTAGAACACTATTTTTAATTATTCATTTTGAGGGAATATATGTGAAAAGGGATAAATTAAGGGGTATGGTGGGCTTGAGGATTGAGGCTGTTTAGGACAAATATATACTACAAATAGTATGTGTAAACAATATCTATGAACAATAAAATAAGGCTTAAATAACTGACTAAGGTATGGAAAAAGGGAAACAAGTAGAAAAAATTAATAGGAAAGATAGAAAATCCATGGAAAAAGGGAAACAAACAGAAGAAATTAATAAGAAAGATAGAAAATCCTAGGAGTCACACTTAGGTTGCTCTAGGTTTCTTCTTGTTCCTCATCAATAGGGTACTATAATTTTCAGTTTTGGAACACAACTAACTACATTTTTCAATTTCTAGCAGGTTTAGAAAGGTTGTCAAGCTTAACCATTTGGAGTTTCTTAACTTGAGTTCCAATGGTTTGTCTGAGAGCATCATTTTCACATCTCCATGGGGGCTTTCATCTCTTATGGATTTGAATCTTTCACTTAATTAGATTATTGGATCACTTAATGATAAGTTGAATTTATATACATATTAATGAAAATTTTATGATTTGATATTATTGATATTTAGATGAGTTTTATAAGATTTTACTTGATTTTATATATAATTTTCATTATTTGTGTAGCAAAGGACTTATTTAGAAGAAATTGTAACTTTTAGCACCAAATTGCAGAGATCAGAAAGCTAAGGATTAAGTTGCATGGAATTCAAAAGTTAGAGACTTAGACTATCATTTTGCCATTAACCCAAATTGCTTTAAAGTCCTAGTTCACATAGAAAATTAACACCACTTATTATTAATACTACACAAATCAAATTAATCTATCTCTAACTTTCATTTAATTCATGATATATTTAATTAAAAATTATTGCATAAAATCTCTTCTCGACCTTAATTATACTCTCTATATCAATTTTAATGATGAACAAGTATTGTAAAAATATTAAAAATAATAATATATATTCATTATGAAATAACACTCTAAAAAAATATTAAGATTATAAAAACCTATGTTGAATTGATTAAACTACATCATAACCCTAATTTGCTAAATCAACTCAT